CACACAGAGGGGTCATCACACAGAGGGGTCACCACATAGGGGGGTCACCACACATGGGGGTCACCACACATGGGGGTCACCACACAGGGGGGTTACCACACAGAGGGGTCACCGCACAGAGGGGTCACCGCACAGAGGGGTCACCGCACAGAGGGGTCACCACACAAAGTTTATACAAGACGGATTTTCTCCTCACCAACAATTGGGGTCCGTCCCCCTAAACCGACATCTCAGTGTTAGGTGGATGCCGGAGAGGTCTGCCTGGGACCCCCCATTGGGGAATTCTCCACCCCGGAGGGGTTCCCACAATCCCTGCTGAACCCTCTCTTATGGAGAATGTAACATAAGGAGCTGGGCGTGAATACTCAGCAGGGGGCGCGGCCAGGTAGAGGTGGGCGGGAACACCTGAGATGGATAGGAAAAGAGTTGGAAGTGCGGAGATCTCGCTGTTGGTGTAAACAAGACATATAAGACGCCGGGGGCCATCCTAGCTCACCAGGCTCCGCCTACATCTAAATGATTACTTTGGGGTGGACTGCCCCTTTAAGTGGTGCATTGTGATACATTATTTCCTACCAACTGTCCCGAGATCTCACCTCGGCATCCCGCCGTGACCCCTCCCTACCAGACCCGCCACCGACCAATCACATCCAACCAATATTATCAACATACAAATCCAACCACAAAGATCTGCCATCACCTCGGCATGAGGATGACAGCTGGGCCAGCACAGGCAACAAACCTAGAAATGGAAGTGAATGAACCAGAGACCACAGCACACTCCATGCACAGGGCACCAGAGACCACAGCACACTCCATGCACAGGGCACCAGAGACCACAGCACACTCCATGCACAGGGCACCAGAGACCACAGCACACACCATGTAGAGGACACCACAGCACACTCCATGTAGAGGACACCACAGCACACTCCATGTTTCTCCTGACCCGCATCTCTGGGAGAAGTTTGCTCTCACCTCATCTCTGTGTTCCGGACGCTCCCGGCCAGCTCAGCCTGCAGAGTGAGATTGGCAGCGCAGCCCAGCGACGGACTCATCACTAACGTGACCTGACAGGCTGTGGTGGGATCAGCAATTCTCGCAGTGATCTCAGCCCCCTCGTCTATTCAACCGGCGTCCCTATTTGTCTGATCCGTAATGAGCGCCCCCCCCCC